CGCGGGGCTGACAACCAGCAGATGCATCGACTGGATGGGAGGCGTGGGCTACACCAGGAACTGCCCGGTGGAAAAGTACTTCCGCGTGTTCCGTTACACAGATGTGTACCGTGTTACACAGATGAGCTCAGTGTTAAAAATATGAGCTCAGTGTTACACAGACTTGTACCGTGTTACACAGACGTGTTCCGTTACACAGATGTGTACCGTGTTACACAGATGAGCTCAGTGTTAAAAATATGAGCTCAGTGTTACACAGACTTGTACCGTGTTACACAGACGTGTTCCGTTACACAGATGTGTACCGTGTTACACAGATGAGCTCAGTGTTAAAAATATGAGCTCAGTGTTACACAGACTTGTACCGTGTTACACAGACGTGTTCCGTTACACAGATGTGTACCGTGTTACACAGATGAGCTCAGTGTTAAAAATATGAGCTCAGTGTTACACAGACTTGTACCGTGTTACACAGACGTGTTCCGTTACACAGATGTGTACCGTGTTACACAGATGAGCTCAGTGTTAAAAATATGAGCTCAGTGTTACACAGACTTGTACCGTGTTACACAGACGTGTTCCGTTACACAGATGTGTACCGTGTTACACAGATGAGCTCAGTGTTAAAAATATGAGCTCAGTGTTACACAGACTTGTACCGTGTTACACAGACGTGTTCCGTTACACAGATGTGTACCGTGTTACACAGATGAGCTCAGTGTTAAAAATATGAGCTCAGTGTTACACAGACTTGTACCGTGTTACACAGACGTGTTCCGTTACACAGATGTGTACCGTGTTACACAGATGAGCTCAGTGTTAAAAATATGAGCTCAGTGTTACACAGACTTGTACCGTGTTACACAGACGTGTTCCGTTACACAGATGTGTACCGTGTTACACAGATGAGCTCAGTGTTAAAAATATGAGCTCAGTGTTACACAGACTTGTACCGTGTTACACAGACGTGTTCCGTTACACAGATGTGTACCGTGTTACACAGATGAGCTCAGTGTTAAAAATATGAGCTCAGTGTTACACAGACTTGTACCGTGTTACACAGACGTGTTCCGTTACACAGATGTGTACCGTGTTACACAGATGAGCTCAGTGTTAAAAATATGAGCTCAGTGTTACACAGACTTGTACCGTGTTACACAGACGTGTTCCGTTACACAGATGTGTACCGTGTTACACAGATGAGCTCAGTGTTAAAAATATGAGCTCAGTGTTACACAGACTTGTACCGTGTTACACAGACGTGTTCCGTTACACAGATGTGTACCGTGTTACACAGATGAGCTCAGTGTTAAAAATATGAGCTCAGTGTTACACAGACTTGTACCGTGTTACACAGACGTGTTCCGTTACACAGATGTGTACCGTGTTACACAGATGAGCTCAGTGTTAAAAATATGAGCTCAGTGTTACACAGACTTGTACCGTGTTACACAGACGTGTTCCGTTACACAGATGTGTACCGTGTTACACAGATGAGCTCAGTGTTAAAAATATGAGCTCAGTGTTACACAGACTTGTACCGTGTTACACAGACGTGTTCCGTTACACAGATGTGTACCGTGTTACACAGATGAGCTCAGTGTTAAAAATATGAGCTCAGTGTTACACAGACTTGTACCGTGTTACACAGACGTGTTCCGTTACACAGATGTGTACCGTGTTACACAGATGAGCTCAGTGTTAAAAATATGAGCTCAGTGTTACACAGACTTGTACCGTGTTACACAGACGTGTTCCGTTACACAGATGTGTACCGTGTTACACAGATGAGCTCAGTGTTAAAAATATGAGCTCAGTGTTACACAGACTTGTACCGTGTTACACAGACGTGTTCCGTTACACAGATGTGTACCGTGTTACACAGATGAGCTCAGTGTTAAAAATATGAGCTCAGTGTTACACAGACTTGTACCGTGTTACACAGACGTGTTCCGTTACACAGATGTGTACCGTGTTACACAGATGAGCTCAGTGTTAAAAATATGAGCTCAGTGTTACACAGACTTGTACCGTGTTACACAGACGTGTTCCGTTACACAGATGTGTACCGTGTTACACAGATGAGCTCAGTGTTAAAAATATGAGCTCAGTGTTACACAGACTTGTACCGTGTTACACAGACGTGTTCCGTTACACAGATGTGTACCGTGTTACACAGATGAGCTCAGTGTTAAAAATATGAGCTCAGTGTTACACAGACTTGTACCGTGTTACACAGACGTGTTCCGTTACACAGATGTGTACCGTGTTACACAGATGAGCTCAGTGTTAAAAATATGAGCTCAGTGTTACACAGACTTGTACCGTGTTACACAGACGTGTTCCGTTACACAGATGTGTACCGTGTTACACAGATGAGCTCAGTGTTAAAAATATGAGCTCAGTGTTACACAGACTTGTACCGTGTTACACAGACGTGTTCCGTTACACAGATGTGTACCGTGTTACACAGATGAGCTCAGTGTTAAAAATATGAGCTCAGTGTTACACAGACTTGTACCGTGTTACACAGACGTGTTCCGTTACACAGATGTGTACCGTGTTACACAGATGAGCTCAGTGTTAAAAATATGAGCTCAGTGTTACACAGACTTGTACCGTGTTACACAGACGTGTTCCGTTACACAGATGTGTACCGTGTTACACAGATGAGCTCAGTGTTAAAAATATGAGCTCAGTGTTACACAGACTTGTACCGTGTTACACAGACGTGTTCCGTTACACAGATGTGTACCGTGTTACACAGATGAGCTCAGTGTTAAAAATATGAGCTCAGTGTTACACAGACTTGTACCGTGTTACACAGACGTGTTCCGTTACACAGATGTGTACCGTGTTACACAGATGAGCTCAGTGTTAAAAATATGAGCTCAGTGTTACACAGACTTGTACCGTGTTACACAGACGTGTTCCGTTACACAGATGTGTACCGTGTTACACAGATGAGCTCAGTGTTAAAAATATGAGCTCAGTGTTACACAGACTTGTACCGTGTTACACAGACGTGTTCCGTTACACAGATGTGTACCGTGTTACACAGATGAGCTCAGTGTTAAAAATATGAGCTCAGTGTTACACAGACTTGTACCGTGTTACACAGACGTGTTCCGTTACACAGATGTGTACCGTGTTACACAGATGAGCTCAGTGTTAAAAATATGAGCTCAGTGTTACACAGACTTGTACCGTGTTACACAGACGTGTTCCGTTACACAGATGTGTACCGTGTTACACAGATGAGCTCAGTGTTAAAAATATGAGCTCAGTGTTACACAGACTTGTACCGTGTTACACAGACGTGTTCCGTTACACAGATGTGTACCGTGTTACACAGATGAGCTCAGTGTTAAAAATATGAGCTCAGTGTTACACAGACTTGTACCGTGTTACACAGACGTGTTCCGTTACACAGATGTGTACCGTGTTACACAGATGAGCTCAGTGTTAAAAATATGAGCTCAGTGTTACACAGACTTGTACCGTGTTACACAGACGTGTTCCGTTACACAGATGTGTACCGTGTTACACAGATGAGCTCAGTGTTAAAAATATGAGCTCAGTGTTACACAGACTTGTACCGTGTTACACAGACGTGTTCCGTTACACAGATGTGTACCGTGTTACACAGATGAGCTCAGTGTTAAAAATATGAGCTCAGTGTTACACAGACTTGTACCGTGTTACACAGACGTGTTCCGTTACACAGATGTGTACCGTGTTACACAGATGAGCTCAGTGTTAAAAATATGAGCTCAGTGTTACACAGACTTGTACCGTGTTACACAGACGTGTTCCGTTACACAGATGTGTACCGTGTTACACAGATGAGCTCAGTGTTAAAAATATGAGCTCAGTGTTACACAGACTTGTACCGTGTTACACAGACGTGTTCCGTTACACAGATGTGTACCGTGTTACACAGATGAGCTCAGTGTTAAAAATATGAGCTCAGTGTTACACAGACTTGTACCGTGTTACACAGACGTGTTCCGTTACACAGATGTGTACCGTGTTACACAGATGAGCTCAGTGTTAAAAATATGAGCTCAGTGTTACACAGACTTGTACCGTGTTACACAGACGTGTTCCGTTACACAGATGTGTACCGTGTTACACAGATGAGCTCAGTGTTAAAAATATGAGCTCAGTGTTACACAGACTTGTACCGTGTTACACAGACGTGTTCCGTTACACAGATGTGTACCGTGTTACACAGATGAGCTCAGTGTTAAAAATATGAGCTCAGTGTTACACAGACTTGTACCGTGTTACACAGACGTGTTCCGTTACACAGATGTGTACCGTGTTACACAGATGAGCTCAGTGTTAAAAATATGAGCTCAGTGTTACACAGACTTGTACCGTGTTACACAGACGTGTTCCGTTACACAGATGTGTACCGTGTTACACAGATGAGCTCAGTGTTAAAAATATGAGCTCAGTGTTACACAGACTTGTACCGTGTTACACAGACGTGTTCCGTTACACAGATGTGTACCGTGTTACACAGATGAGCTCAGTGTTAAAAATATGAGCTCAGTGTTACACAGACTTGTACCGTGTTACACAGACGTGTTCCGTTACACAGATGTGTACCGTGTTACACAGATGAGCTCAGTGTTAAAAATATGAGCTCAGTGTTACACAGACTTGTACCGTGTTACACAGACGTGTTCCGTTACACAGATGTGTACCGTGTTACACAGATGAGCTCAGTGTTAAAAATATGAGCTCAGTGTTACACAGACTTGTACCGTGTTACACAGACGTGTTCCGTTACACAGATGTGTACCGTGTTACACAGATGAGCTCAGTGTTAAAAATATGAGCTCAGTGTTACACAGACTTGTACCGTGTTACACAGACGTGTTCCGTTACACAGATGTGTACCGTGTTACACAGATGAGCTCAGTGTTACACAGACTTGTACCGTGTTACACAGACGTGTTCCGTTACACAGATGTGTACCGTGTTACACAGACGTGTACCGTGTTACACAGATGAGCTCAGTGTTACACAGACGTGGCCTGAGAGCGCGGCCAGGTCCCGGGCTGCTGTTCCCTCAGCAGTTTGTCCTCCTTCCGTAGCCTCACGTAGCCATCGAACCCTTCGTCCCCAGTCAGCTCCTGCCTCCACCTCCCTGAGGGCCCGGCTACCAGCCCCGTGTCCACTCTGCCCACCCGCCCGCCCGCGCGGCACGGGAGTGGGGTGTGCAGGTGGTCTCCTCTGGCTGGGCTTCCCGCCTCTTCCCTCAAGAACTGGGTTTATAGGTTCTTTTGAAAACATCAAATTGCCTTTCTAAATGCCTCGGCAGACCTTCTAGTAAAACACAGCACACACTGCCCTGCCCTGGCCGGTGGCTCAGTGGGTCGGAGCTTCGTCCTGTCACCAGAAGGTTGGGGCCCAGGTCCCGGGCAGGGCACACGCCCAGGTCGCAGGTTGGATCCCGGGTGGGGGCACATATGGGAGACAACTGATCGATGTTTCTCCCCGCCCCCTTCCCTCTCCCTGAAGATCAATGAGAAAACATCCTCGGGTTAGGATTTTTAAAAATCGGCCTTAATTTCTCTTTTACTAAAAACGCTAACATTTGGGGTTTGTTTCGTCTGTTCTTTGAAGTGTGAGCCGCTACCTGCCTACGAGCCTGAGCATGAGGCTCTGTCCAGGCGGAGGGCAGAGGCCGCCCTGCGGGCCGCGGTGCTGAGGGCCCTCGGGCTTCCGCGCTGCCGGCTCAGGGACGAAAGCCTCGCCTGTGTGATGCGGACTCTGGAATCGAATCCCACTCCCAGGCGGAGGGCCATCGTCTTGCAGGCACAGCCGCCTCCGCAGGCCACATGCTTGGGGCGCGGGGCAGAGCGTGGAGCAGGTGCAGGTCTGTCCGCAGACGCAGCCGAGTCCTCACTCTGGTCCCTTTGTTTAAGGTACAATATACGAGGGCGCGTCCAACATCCAGCTGAACACCATCGGGAAGCACCTCGACGCGGCGTACTGACCCCGGGGCCCGCTGGGCCGTCTGAACCCCGAAGCTCTGTGACCTGGGGAGCGTCACCCGGCAGCACAGTGATTGATGGAAGTTGTGGTCGTGGGTCTCGGGTCGCCATCTCTGTGTTCTTCCAGCTCCGCCCAGCGTGGGCACAGGAAGCCACTTGAACATCTGGGGGGAAATGCTCTCCGGCCTCCTCGGAACTTTCTAAAGGTCTGAGGCCTCGTCCCAGCTGCAGGTGCTGAGGGGCCTCTCCACGGCTGGGCGCTGGTGACCCGGGCGTTGTCTGTTCCCACGAGACCTCCTTTGTGGCATTCGTCAGACATGTCTGTGAGACTTGGCACGTCTCCCGGATTGAGTCCACCCTAAGCTGCTCAATGAGGTAGAAACGGACAAATACTTTCTGTAGGAAAATCGAAGAGTTCTAGTTGTGAAACCTGAGAATGGGAGGAAGGTAAGGATCCCACTCTGTAAGTCGTAAACGTGAAGAAAACGCTATTTTACCAAAATAAAGCGAAGATGTCGCGAGGCCGGCCTGTGCGGGGGTGGGGCGGGCTGTCAGCTCGCTGCCTCTCCGGTGCGAAGCCTCAGCACTGGGGTCCGCGCTCAGAGGCACCCCTGTTGTCCTGTCACTGTCCGAGCCGTCGCCAGCAAGTGTCTCCTTAAGTGGGACCGTCCTCGGCCGCGCCGCCAGCTTCACCATGGCTGGTGATTCAGCTGCCGCACCTCGTTCGGCTCCGTGATCCTCAGGAGGGAGGTGTCCTGCCCCCCGGAGCCGTGTCCGAGCTCATGGGGGGCAGTTAGAGCATGTTCAGTGACAGAAAAGTCCTTTCGTCGCGGGAAGCAGAAGCATTTGGTTGCTTGCAGCACAGGCGCAGAAAGGCCGAGGTCGGCACAGGGGTCTCGAGGGGGTGGAGGG